CCAAAGAAAGGGTAAGAATAATGTTATTCTGGGGGTACAAAACAGTCTTTATATATTTAAAGCGTTAATAAAACGTGGTTTTATTTTCTATTCCTATTTTTCGTGCTGTGTGCCCGACTAGTACTTATGCAGACCTTTCATTGTTGGTTTTATCAAAATTGTGGATTTCAAAAAAATTATGTTTTTAAACTGTTAGGCAAATTCCGAGAATGTATTTGTATTAAATGAAGTTGCATTTTGGTAAAAAGAAATCGAGAAATATAAATATCGAGTATTATCAATATTTTCTCAAAATTTAGGGCCCCTCCCCCTACATCAGGTGTGATGTCACCGAAGTTCGCCCTTAAAAAACACCGAATAGAGATAACCGCAGGCGAGTAGATTAGGTTCCAATTATTACTGCATACAGTTTTTTTTAACCAACTTAAGCATGGAACGAAAGTTACCTACCCAATGAACGGGTTCATCAACTCAAAACAAATCTTCTACAGCTTGAAAAAGTTTATTTTCTTTTAAGAGAGCAATAACTATAGTCGGGTGATTGCACTTCATCCATCCACTTTCTGTGATGTGATTAGTTCGACTTTTCGTTTAAATTTTCACACCTTTTCACAGAGTTAAGTTAAAAGGGTAAGGTAAAAACTTTTACATAACTGTGTGTGATTTTTTTTCTGTGTTGTCTTCAAATAATCGTCGTAAAAAAATGACATCACTTTTCAAAAATTAAACATTCTGTATATTTAAAAATATATAGTTTGTGTGTATTTGGTTCAACCGCATCTGAAATAACTCGAGTTTTGTATTCAATATGTTCATGTTGGTGATATTCAAGTAGAACTTGCAATAGATTTTCATTGTTCGATAAACAAGGTGAATTATTTCATATTTTTGATTTTCCGAATAACCCATGCTACAAACAAATAGTGTTTCTAGAAATTATAATTAGTGCTAGTGACATTAAGTATCAATATTTGTCCGGATGCCGCCACAATTTATACCATGTTTTGTTTTCAAAAGCACTGATGATGGCGATTATTACATTCTGTTTTTGAATATCACACTGAAGAGTATGTCAAGTATTTTTGAAATCGAGTTAAAAACGATTTTCATTTTAAGCAGAAATATACCGGTTGATCAGTTTACAAAACGTGACGCTGTTGATTTTATTTTTGTTTTTATTGGTACGTTCAGAAGATCATAGAGAAAAAATTATACAGCTTTTACTCAAAAAAAATCCCTATCCCCTCCAATAAACTCTGTTGGTGTGAATGTGAATTAAATCATTTTAATAACAAACATTAGAAAAAAATTAATTACAAAAATAATTACGTCCCTTTTGTTGAGACAAAATTTATTAGATTTTTACAGTAATTTCCACAACCAAAATATTTAATTCAATAATCCACAATTTTGTAAATTGTATTCTTGTTGCACCAATAAAGTCTTGATGAAATTGGCTACAAATCGACATTAACAAAATATATATTATATAATTTAGTCCCTGCATTAACCAATGGGTGAAGGAAAAAAACAAGTAATGTCACTTTATCTTTGTTTTGAGAAAATTGAATACTTAATATTTATGGCTCAACAAGTTGAAATTGAGGCATCAGTGAAACAGTATATACTTTTATTTACTGAAATGAACGTACATTCTATTAAGCACTTAAACTTATTTTAGTAAAATCTTTAGAGGAAACAGAAAAAACTACAAAATATTCTTAAATGCAGAAAAAAAAACGATAAAAACGGGGAATATCCGAAAGTCGTAGTTGTGGGTTGCAGAAAGGCTGAAAATGAATTACTGGGTAATATAAGAAAAAGAAAAAAACTGTTTTCTTGTTCCAATTACATACTAATAAATTCTACTCATCAGATTTTTGTATTTTGCGACAGGTAATCGGTAATAGATCTAGAAAAAGTATAATAAGCATAATAATAATTACTTTTAATTTTTCCTTTTTTTTATATGCGCAACGTTTCTTCTTGCAAGTCAAACCGTCCCCAAGTGTGAACTTAGAAAAATGATTAGAAATACTTGTTGTCAAAAACGATTTAATTCAGTATTATTTTTAATAAACAAACTGCAACTTACCGGTATCTGCATGTAGTGGAGTTGAAACTCTCCTTCTGGTAATACATTTTTCGGGTGCTGAGGTTCTTTTGGACTTTACTTGAGTAATGGGGTTTTGATAAACCTTGAATGCTCCCGAGTATATTCTATTTGTTAGTTTTGATTAGGGGACATTGTTTTGACATAAAAAAGGTTCCATTTTTTAACCATATGGGTTTTTAAATTCACTCGTACCATATTTTTGTCGCATATCGAAATGTTATTCCGATTGATTCAAAAAAATTTTTTTTGTGTACTATATATCTAATGCATAAAGCGAAACATAATACTTGTTTATCCATAAAATTAGTAATAAAATAGGAACAACAACAGTTCATTTGGCCCTTTATTTGCAACTATTTGAGGATACGTATAAAAAAATTGATTGACCTGTAGGCAACACGTGAATGTTGAAACTATACATCGAAAATTGTCTCAGATAATACATACTTCACGTTTGACAATGAAATATTTTTTTGGTAATTCAAAGCAATCGCTTTTTTTAATTTTTGCGAGTAGCTCTTTTAAAATCGTGGAACGTTTGCGCCTTGTGTTTATGTAAAGCATTTTGAATTGATAATTTACCAATTTCTGGAGCACCCCTTTCAGAATTTAGTGTTTTCAATTTTGCCTGAAATTCGTCACATGCTAAAAATGTGTCTGGTGTGGATACCCAAAACACAAATTAAACTTTCTGCTGAAAATTTGCCTATATGTAATATTTTGTTGCTGTTCAAGCTTTGTCCAAAATATTTTTTCTTAGATTCGTGCTTTTAAATATCCTGGACATAATTTCTGATGTCTGGAACTATACATTTCTCGCTTGTCTTTGAAACAGGTTCCTATAGCTTTTAAGACTTTCGGTAGGTATTTTGCCTTTACTTAACCGTGAATTGACTGGAATGCTTTAAAACACACGTTAATTTCCTTTGCAACCCTATCACGTTTAAGTCTTATTTTATGAGCAAAATCAGCATCGTGAAATTTTGAGTCATTGATCTAACCAAATAAGCATTTTGGGCGTCGTTTGAACCCAAACTATTAAAATATGTTAAAACTTGTTTTCTCTCTGGACTAGTTATATTTTCAAAACAGTCAGCCTTTTACAACTGCATTGCGGCGCTTCTTCGTGAGATTGTAGTCGTAAATTTTGCATAACTTGAACCTTCCTGTTTTCTTCCTCTTCCTCCTCCGTCATTTTTATACTCATCACTATCAGAGGACATTTTTTATTTGTGTTATTACTCCTAGCCATTACTATTACCAACTCAAACTCAAAAATATATAAACAAGACGTGTTGCCTCACACACATAACCTAAACGATTTAAATCGAAGTGAAAAAATGGCATGGCATGGACATTTCTTGTGTTTAACCAACGCACTGTTATTTTAAATACGCATATTTATCGGACAGTTTTCGTTTTTACCTACCGGGCTATGACAAACAATAGACAAGACCTTTTAAACGGCGCTATTAGTTCCATTTCTTCAAAAGCAAGGCGTTCCTTGTTTTTTCTCTTCACCCTTCATATTTGTTCAAATTATAAATTTATTTGCTGCAAGTAAATCTCTAAGTTTCGGAAGCATCATCTTTTTTATTGCCGCCACGTTATAGGCTGATTGTGAATGTGGATGGTAGCTAAATTATCATCTGAATGGTTAGTTTAGACATCCGCTCAAAATATGGTATAACATTTCAACCCCTTACCCAGTCCCACAGTCACTAAAGTTACACCTACATTGCTCTCGCTTATGCAAAATAATTTCTGGTTATTGCAGGTTTTAGACCATTAGCTTTGCATAAAGAATAAAGTCACTGGTCATCGATCCAAATATATCGAGTACCCACAACTAGCTGCGCGAAAAAACCGACCTGAAGATAGCAAATTTGATTTTCCCAAAACGTCGACTTTCGCCACATTTCGTTCAATCATTATTCGCAAGTTGCTCTTTTCTTATAATGTAAATGTAAATAAATAATAAATATTCCTAGTGTACCCATTTTCTTGCAATAAATAAAGTAGAATAGTAATAATACAAACATATTTCTTGTAATAATGTAAGACGTCCTGGCAAATAAAATTTTCTTGCAACGAATATATTATAGTTGAGATAAGAATAAAAAAAATAATTCCCCGAATTGGATATTTAATTGCTCGAAACGAATAAAATTATTTAATTAGAACAAAGGTGCTTTATTTTCAGGTGTGTGCAATTTGACTGTATTTGATATCATTTCTTCTAGTAACTGATTGAATGAAAGACGGAAACTCACAAATATCGGCTCGGTAAATTGCAATCTGAATTTGCATACCAAATTGTCTAGTGCGTGATTTCGTTACTTATAGAAAACTGCCTCCGCAGAGTCGCACGTCATCGAAGTGTCACGAATCGTATAACGAAACCAGAGGACGAAACACCTCTATACATCGCGAAAAACAAATCGATAAGGAAAAACCGGGACCCGCCACCCCCGCCCGCGGTAAAGAAAAAACACAACCCCCCCCCGCCGCCGTCCTCGCGCTCTCATTGTAATAGAAATCTCAAATAAGATTATTGACATACTTTGCTGGGTTCCGGAATAAACATAAAAGGCGTATCTCGAAAGTTATCATGGTGACGGAGTTATCGAGTAGAGAGAGGACCACTTTATATATCACTTTTAGTTAGTTATACGGCACAAAAGCTCCCGACTAAACGTCGCGTCTCCTAACGGTTAAGTAACTCCCATCGACACGCCACGTCCCCACTCCCGCGCCGTCCCATTGGTCGTCGCGCCGTCGAATTCCGTAGTTACGGCCCCGGAGTTGCCAATGGTCGACCGCGGTTCGATCCTACCGACCCGCAATTCCAGTCTCTTCCCGATCTCGCTCGCTATAGCCGCAGTTGGCCGCGTAACACGATCACCTTTTGTTTTCCAACATCCCCGTTCAAGCGCTGGGCCGCCTTTCGCTGTGCTAGCTGTGATATGTGATACGGTTTCGGTGATTTCGACGGTGCCACAGTCCACGATTCGCAACCCTGGCCACTCACATGGCCCTAGGATTGAGCTCCGGACTGTGTCCGGGGAGCAGCGGACCCAGTTCCGGAGCTCATTCGGATACGTCGTCATCGCCGGGTGTTAGCGTGCCTATTCCGGTAGCTCCGGCACCGATTTTACCGAACCCGATGTTCGCATTACCTACGTTGAACTTTACCGTGTCGCAAGTGGCGGCGGTTTGCGAAACCCTGGAAGAATCCGGTGATATCGAGAGACTCGCGAGGTTTTTGTGGTCTTTGCCGGTCGCCCATCCGAATATAAGCGAGCTGAACAAGAACGAAGCGGTGTTGAGAGCTAGGGCGATCGTGTCGTTTCATAGCGGCAACTTCCGCGAACTTTACACCATTCTGGAGTCGCACAAGTTTACGAAAACGTCCCACGGTAAACTGCAGGCGATGTGGCTCGAGGCGCATTACCAGGAAGCGGAGAAACTACGGGGCCGTGCCCTGGGTCCGGTAGATAAGTATCGGGTGCGTAAAAAGTTCCCGTTACCGAGGACTATATGGGACGGTGAACAAAAGACTCACTGTTTCAAAGAGAGGACTAGGAGTTTGTTGCGGGAGTGGTATCTGCAGGATCCGTACCCGAATCCGACCAAGAAACGGGAGCTGGCTCAGGCGACGGGTCTGACTCCGACTCAGGTCGGCAACTGGTTCAAGAATCGACGGCAACGGGATCGAGCCGCCGCCGCTAAAAACAGGTTAGAGTTAATTTTAATAGGCGGGATATGGAGATGGATGGAAAGCGCTTATAAATCTGTACCAACTGGGGAAATGTTGAATCGATAGGTGCGAAAGATCTTGGCACCACTGTTCTCGTTTAGGAAATTGAAGGAGAATTCTTCTATAAAGGGCGGCGGTCCTACAGCTTCTGACGCATCCCGCATTTCGATCGCCACATGTTTCTGTCTCTCCAGGCCTCTTAATTTATTGCCCGGTCCCTTAGAGTTGTCATAACTCCATCCAACCGTGTGGTAGCTGCTTTCCCTCGTTTTCTTGTATTTAGTGGAGCATATTCAAAAGCTTTTCTTGCCCATCTATTTTCCTCCATTCGTCTAACATGCCCATACCATATCAGTTGTCTTGTTTCAATTCGTTCAGTTGTTCTGTGTGATTCGTACGGCATCTAATCTCCTCATTTGGTAAAGTCTGTTCATTGATATAAGAAAGTGACTAACTGATACGAATTAAGGAAAGATCCGGACACGCTGTGAGAATGAAAAATGGCCGAACAGGTCCGTACTTTGCTTAGAATTTAATTATTTGGAGTTTTGTTAGGAAAGATACTAAATAATATTTATTTATTTATTTATGTATGTATTTATGTTTAACCTACTTAAATTAGTTAAAATTATTCACATGATATATCATTATCACTATCGCCATCATCGCCTGTTCTAATTCTTATTTGTTCTATATCATTTGCAATATACGATTCTTCTGCTTTTTCTATATGTTTAACAGAATTTGACCAATTTTGTGGAGGGATGTTAAAAACTTCGGTTTCTATAAGTTTGAGGACATTGGAGTTAACATGGGGAAAAACATTGTTACAACGAATTCAGTTGGTGTCAAATATGTTCAATGGGATTAAATATACAGTGGTAAGGTGGAAGCCTTAAAACTGTATGCCCTAGATTTTTTTGCATAATTATCACAGACGTATTCCTTTTGTAGGTTTAAGCTTTGTAGAACCTCAATTAATTGCTTTTTGGTATAAACTTCGTGAAAATAAATGTCGTTTTTATACATGTAGTTTTGGATTGTTGCTTTCGTGTCACATGAGGAAGGGGTTTTAGTCAACTGTCTACTGTGATAACTTGCATTAAATCTAGAGCCAGCATGCAAAATATTCTTATTTTTTTACCTCTTTTTGATGGCGCGTTTGTTTTACACTTATCAGTTGAGTCAACCCAACCCTTTTCCGGGGCATCATAAGTGTCGAACCAGGTTTCATCCAAGTAAATAATTGGCCTTTGTTGTTCTCTGTAAATCCTAATGTTTGCTAGATATTCCAGTCGGTAGGTTTCTTCAAGCCCCCTAATTAAGATATCTCATGTAGACACGCTTTGTTCCTCGTATAACTGGTAAATTTTACACCATATTATATCTTAATCACTTTAATCTACACTCAAGAAAATGTCAGCATCGCTTCTTTTTTTCCTCGCTCAAATGGGATTATTCACAATTTTCCATACAGTTGATTTTGGAAATTTCGTCAATGTGGCCGTTTCTTCTAAAGATGCTTGCTTGCTGGCACCACGTTCAATGAGAGTCAAATAAACATTGTTTATAACTTCCTTAGTCTCAATAGAATAGTGTTTTCTACATTTGGGCGGGAGCATCTCCTGAGATACACTAGACTTGCACATATTTTGCATAATTCGCACACGATTCAACACACTCTGTGTTACACACGAAATAAGAATGATTACTAATAAACTTAAACTAAGTAGTATACCAAACCAAAGAATATTAAACACAGGTAGGTATAAAATTATTTTCTATAGACCATATGTGTTCTAACCTAAATATGCGACATGATCTGCTGGAAAACTCCATTTCTATTTTCCTCCTCATTGATTCCTTTAGCTGCCAACATTCTGATACGTATGTCGTTATTGGTTCTACGAAAGCTCTGTATATCGTCAATTTTGGTTTTATAGATATTGGATTGGACCAAAGTAAATGATTCAAAACTCGTATACTCCTGTGTACCTGTTGTATTCTGCGTTGTATGTCTTGTGCAGATGAGCCTTTGTTAGATATAATAGTACCAAGGTATTTATGCTCTTCGCATTGATTCACCTGCCTTAACCACAAGTCGAGATCTTCGTTTTCTTTACCTATTCTTAATTATTCTGTTTTGGTCATGTTCATTTTTATTCCCGCTAGATTACATTCATCTTGTAGTTTCTTTAACATATAATCTATATCTTTACCAGTTGCCATTAATACCTGATCATCAGCAAAGAATAATGTTGACAAGTAGTGGTCTCCAACCTTAATTCCCATTCTTGTCTTAATTTTTGTAGTATTTCTTATATAAAAATTTTAAACAACGTAGAAGAAACGCAACGTCCCTGTTTAAAACCCTTTGTCACCCGAAATGGTTCTGACAAGGTGTTTTGGGAGAATTATTTTATTGGATTAATGTAAAATTCAAAAAACGCTAACGATTTGATCAAAATTATATATGATAAATCAATAAGACGCGATATGATCCTATAATGTCTTAAAACTAACATATGCATGATAATTTGTATTATTTATTCTTATTAAAACAAAAGTATTGTGTGCATTTGGATTAAAAAGGAAACCATTCAAATTTTAATGAACAGATAATGAAATGAGCATCACAAAATAATATTTTAAATGTTTAAAATAACGATTTAAACATGTTATATATTTAAAACAAAGAGGCCATCATTATAATTTTCTTTCTGTTAACATTATCCTTAGACTAGAAATTCCTATTTTTTAGTTTCAGGAATATGCAATATTAATGTAATTATAAAACATAATATTTTTATTGGAATTACATTTGCCCCGACATGTTTTTCAATCAGCAACGCTTCTAACGAAATGAGAAATTCATTTTTAGTATTAATTAATTCTACCATTTTTGGGTTCCTTGGCAATTCCTTCAACTAATTCAGTTAATTTGTATTATTTATTCTTATTAAAACAAAAGTGTTGTGTGCATTTGGATTGAAAAAGAAACCATTCAAATTTTAATGAACAAATAATGAAATGAGCATCACAAAATAATATTTTAAATGTTTAAAATAACAATTTAAACATGTTATATATTTAAAACGAAGAGGCCATCATTATAATTTTCTTTCTGTTAACATTATCCTTAGACTAGAAATTCCTATTTTTTAGTTTCAGGAATATGCAATATTAATGTAATTATAAAACATAATATTTTTATTGGAATTACATTTGCCCCGACATGTTTTTCAATCAGCGACGCTTCTAACGAGATGAGAAATTCATTTTTAGTATTAATTAATTCTACCATTTTTGGGTTCCTTGGCAATTCCTTCAATTAATTCAGTTAATTTGTATTATTTATTCTTATTAAAACAAAAGTGTTGTGTGCATTTGGATTGAAAAGGAAACCATTCAAATTTTAATGAACAAATAATGAGATGAGCATCACAAAATAATATTTTAAATGTTTAAAATAACAATTTAAACATGTTATATATTTAAAACGAAGAGGCCATTATTATAATTTTCTTTCTGTTAACATTATCCTTAGACTAGAAATTCCTATTTTTTAGTTTCAGGAATATGCAATATTAATGTAATTATAAAACATAATATTTTTATTGGAATTACATTTGCCCCGACATGTTTTTCGATCAGCAACGCTTCTAACGAAATGAGAAATTCATTTTTAGTATTAATTAATTCTACCATTTTTTGGGTTCCTTGGCAATTCCTTCAACTAATTCAGTAGTTCACTGATTTTCCCAGAGTATCCTACAGAAGGAATCTGGAAATGTTTTTATACTTAAGCTGAATTTTGGATTGTGTAAATCTAAAAAAAAATTTATATATCTCTTAAAACTGTAGAATACGTAGAGATCCCTTCATCTCACAAAATCATTTCAGGACCTAATCGCAATCAGATTTATACTTAGATTTACAAGATAAAGTAAAATAAAGCATTGTTTAATATTCCAAAAACCGAAACACCGTTCCTTAGTGCTTGGGTTGACGAAGCTGTCAAATTGATGGAACTTTCTGACATACATATGAGATGAGATTTTGAACGGAATTTTGAGTGCCGAAAAGACCCAAGCCGTCTTATTTCATTTTCATATACCTCAAAAATTCTTGTAACAACGTACAAGTTCAAATTAATGGGAGATATCAATAAATATAAATAATTCGGAAAATGTTGGGTTACCCTACCGCGTAAACTAAATTTTTATTTGGTTTTGCTTCAAAATTGGCCAAATATCCTATGAAATAGATGACATAGTGACATATGAATATGATTTTTGGAATAATTCAACATTAGCGGCAGATATAACATATAATACTTATTTCTTAGGCAGAAAAAAATTAATAGACAATGTCTATAAGTTAGTTTCTTTATACAAATACGAGTATATTCATTTCTTTTTACATATGTTGTACTATTGTAACAAATTTTCCCAGCATATAGGCGCAAGATTTAAAAATAGACAGTTTTCGCGTGCCAAATTATAATTACTTAAAAGTAACAAAAACAAAAGCGAATTTTCTGGGTAGAAAAAGTATTGCCAGGTTATACCAGGAAAATTCAGATTCAAAGAAAATTTAAAACAGATCGTGAAAAATCTGATTTAACTTTTGTAGTTTATATCCAGATATTACTTACTTACTTATTACTATTACTATTACGTTATTACTTATGTCTAGGTTTATATTTTATGATTGACTTCCTTTTTTTTGACATATGTTTTGTCTTTTAGCTCAATAAATAAAGCATATTCTCTAGTAAGTAAATATCTTTACTCTGAAGGAATATATTATCCTTACATTCTCAATATTTTTATTTTTCATTTACTTATTTAGTTACTTTTCACGTCAATACAATTAACGATTTCAAAAATACATATACCTTTTTAAAAAATTAAGAGTAATATTTCTGATATTATTTAGAAATCATTTAGTTTGAAAAACTATATCACTACGCATC